TTACCTATGGGAATAAGATTTTCTGAATGTAACATTACCTAACATATTACTGAGAATGTTACATTATTGTGTTTGGTTGGTTTGACAAGAATGTATGATTACAATTTGGTTGAAAGAATAAAAAAGTATTTGAATGTATATTTTATCAAATTTACCTTGTGATATATTTATTTTTAAACGAGTTGAATTTGAATATTCAAATAAAATATTTATATAATAATTCATACAAAATATATTATTTTATTATTTTTAATTTTTATATTTTTTATAAAATTTAAAAGATAAATGAGTTTAATAAAATGGTTTAATTGTATTTTAACCCCTGAACTTCATATAAAATTCTAGTTGTGGACTTCTTTGCAAATCTAAAATAGTTTAAGGATAAATTTACAATTTACTCTTCATAGAAAACATTTTTTATTTCAACAATCAGGAGAAGGATAATTTTGAAATAATTTTTTTGTTTTAAGGGCATTTTAGTCCAAACTCATGGGAAATGATAAATACATAAGAAATTAGAGGGAATGACATTCCCGGTAAAACACCCACAAAATGGCACTGTTGAGAATGACTTATTACTCCTTGTTGGGAATGAGTTATTACTCCTTATTGGGAATCTTTGTAGTTCAAACATAGATATTACATTCCGGAAAATACTTCTCCCCGATAATCATTTTTTCTGTCATCCAAACAGCCCCTTAGGGTATAATGTTAAAATTTACCCATAATATTTGGTGAAATAATCATTTTGTTTGATTCTTATTTTTTAAAAGTGCTTTGGTCTTTAATATTTTATAATGTGATAAAATGTAATTTGATTAGATGAAAATCATTAGTTGATTAATAGTTAATGTTTGTAGTTGACATAATAAATCATGTGTCCAGTGATGACGTTACATGTGTCATCACTTTACGAACTATGGCATGTGTCATGTTATCATTTATGTACATGTGTCATGTCATTACTTAAGGCGCATAGGACTTATCATGTGAATGAAAAATAATAGATGATTACTCAACTAACGATTTTCATCAAAATCATTTTGCCCTAAAATGAAATTTTGGGTTAAAGTATTCCCAAAAAAATAACAGGGACTAAAGCAACTATTTAAATAAATATTAAGAATATATTTGTAATTAAACTTCCTTTAATATAAGAAGAAAATGAATTCTTAAAAATTCAAGTGCCAAATTCGAAATTAACTCTTGTTATCGATATGTAATATCATCAATTCAACGTGAGTTGCTCAATAACCCAAACATAATATACCGAAAATTTATGTGACCAAAACATAACATTTTAAAAATAGATGACCAAAAATGAAAATGTCCTTGGGTATAGTTTACCCAATAATAAAATCCATGTAATTAATAAAGCGTTTTTCCCTTTTTTTTATTAATTAATAAAGCGTGTTTACCTATGCAGTTTGCCTTTAAAACAAAATATATAAATGATCCCATTCAGAACGCTACCGCGTCTTTGAAAGTTTGACGCGGAAATGCCGCCCATTGAAAACACTCCCCTAGTCCATATATATATATATATATATGTATTGACATGACCTAATTTATTTAATATATCTTTTACTATTTTAAAAAAATTAAATTATTAAATGATTTAAAGATAAAAAAGTTAATTTTATAAATAAAAAAATTGAATTCAGATAGTTGTGTCAATAGACTATATATGTATTACTTATAGATTAATTTTTTAATAAATATTATTTTATAATCATTTTAAATTATTAAAAATAGTTTTACTCATTTTTAATTAAAAAGTTATTTACTGTTGTAAAACTTAAAATAAGAAAGATTTTTTTTTCGTTTTTTTCTAATCAAAATATATACCTGTGGCTTGTAGATGATTGCATCGTATCAGTTAACTATATCTTTCGTTATATCTTAGACATTGTTGTTATTGGTAGTACAAAAGTAGACAGAAAATTGACCTTTCGAGCTTTTTCTTTTATTTTATATATAATTTTTTTCTCAAATTTCAAGCGCTCAACTCAAATATTATCTTAATTGATGCTCAATTTTATATTTCAATCACATACATTTATAAACATAAATGTATAAAATATCCAAATACATAGTGAATTTATAGTTATCAATGGGGTAGGGTCAAGTGAAATTGTAACAACGCACAGGTAATAAAAGAATATATGTTATTTGTTGCGATTTTGAGTATAAAAAATATCACGGGTATAAACTTTTTAATATCGAATAATTGAAAATTCAATTATTATTTTTTGAATATATATTATCTTATATTTATTCTAGATCAGTAAAAAATCAATTTATTTTATAAAATGTAAGAGATATTTTTGTCTTTATATTCAACTTAAACTATTCATATTGTTTCTCATTCTTAATTAATCAACGTTGCTTTTAAATTTTTGAATAGCGATCAATATTATATTTTTTACAGTGATAAATACTGGCTTTAAATTTTGAAAATATAAATTATAAAATTATAAATAATAATAAAAATTTAACAGTCATAAATTTTAAAAAAAATTAAGGTTATTATATTTGCATATTAAAATTCTGAAGATTATTATATTTTCAACTGACGAAAAATATCCTATTATAATATTAATGTAATAGTTTTTTTAATAGTTTAAGGTAATTATAAAATAGTATTTATTTAAGATTTTTTAATCAATTATAGCACATTCATGCTTAACAGATGTAGTAGCTCAAACTCATGACTTTTAGGGTGCGTTTGGTTCACGGAATGTAAGATTACCAGTGGGAATAAAAGATTACCAGGTAATAGGATTACTGGGAATGTTGTATTTTGTGTTTGGTTAAAGGAATAAAAGATTTTTGGAATGTATATTTGACCAAATTGTCTTTATTATATATTTGTATAATATTACAAATTGTAAAATATTTATATATTTTCTTTAAAAAATTAAATTAATAATATTTATATAATTTTTTTTATAAAATTAAAAATATAAAAAAGGTTTAATGAAAGGGTAAAAAAATTTTAACCCCTGAACTTCATATAAAATTTTAATTATAGATTTTTTTTTGTAAATTTAAAATAATTTAAGGATAAATTTGTAATTTAACCTTCGTAGAATTTTTATTATTCAATGACAGAAGAAGGATATTTTTGAGAAAAAATAAAAATTTAAAGGCATTTTAGTCCAAAATGATGGTAATGTTACAATACCTAAGGGAAGGGAGGTAATGACATTCCCGGTAATATACCCCAAAAAATCTACTATTGGTAATAAAATATTACCGGGAATGAGATTTCCGGCCAACCAAATATGGGAATGTGGGATTCCCATCCCATGGGAATCCCACAATCCTTGAACCAAACACCCCCTTATAAAAAATAAATTATCTTTTACTAATAAGGTCACTTACTTAATACTGACATGATATTTTTTTATTAATTTAAGGGTGATTATAGATTATTATATGTTTAAAAGATTCTTAACCCATTTGAAGATAAATATTTAAACCTCTAATATACGATGTGCTCAGCCCAAACTTAATTCGTGCAATAGTATCATGATAGTTAAATGTATTGATGTAGTAATCTATATATAAATAAAGATGTACATAAAAAGTTCATTAATTTTTAAAAGAAATTAATTGATTTTCGTAAGAAATTGACAAATTAATTGATTATTTTAAAGAGATGGGGAGGATGAACGCAGCCCTAATCATAAAATCACTATTAAGATTAAGAATATATTTAAAGTTTAAGAGAGTTATATATGTTCAAAGATTTTTAATCATAGTAATTAGGTTTGTTCAAGTGGTAAATAGTTTGATATTGTTTAAGCACTCTCGAGTTTAAGTCTTTGTGTATACAGAAAATTCTCGTCGGGAGAACTACCCACCAAAATTAGGTATGCGATCTGGGTCGCTCTAAAATTAGTTAAGGCGAAACCTTGAGAACTTGAAGGACAAAAAAAATCCTTAACTATGACAATAAATGTGTATATTTTTTAATGTATCTAAAACTCGAGATTTAAAAGATAACAATACTTTTTTTAATTATTAAAATCATTGTATTCGTATTCGCGTCGCAAATATTAACTAATAATTGATTAGCTTAACGAAGAATGGAACATATGAGCTCTAAGTCTGATGAAAATAAATAAAGCAAGCCAGCAAAAGTTGACCCACAAATCTCTCAGTCGGCTGCGATGAATAAGTGATAAGACTTTCACATTTCAAGTCCAATTTGGTCTCTTTCACATTCGTTTTGACTCACCCAATTTCCCTTTCTTTCAAACCCCCACCTCAATATCTTCTGTTCTTTCTTTAAATGTCAGGGATCAAATTCAGAAATTGGTACTTTTCTAATTTCAATTCTAAACTTTTTCACTCGTGAAACTTGAAAACATTCTAAATTTGGTATTTGAATTTCGTTTTTTTATTTCTTTTATAGAACATTTTAATATTAAATACTTGTATATTATTATCTAGTATAAATTTAATCACTATTATTATTATTATCTAAAAATATGATTTATACCATTTTATAATGATTAATGTAATAAAAATAATAATAGATTGAATTCCAATATAATACTTTAAGATTATACCATATCATCGTTTAAAAATGCATATTTTAAAAATTTCAAATAGTGATCCAACGGGAAAAAAACCTAGACACTTATCGAAGCAATTAAAATTTCAAGTTCATATGTCAAATAAGAAAGATTAATCAATCGAGTGGTGACGATGTTAAAGGGAACATTATTTTCCCTTGAGATTCTAGATTCAAGTAATTGTGATTGCAGATTGTATGTGTGTTGTCAGTAACTATTATAGTGCATATTTTATAACAATTTGATCATTTAATGACTATTTTATAAGTTTTAAAATTTTAATAACTAAAATGATCATTTGAACGTAGTTTAGTGATCTATAATATATTTTACCCTTAAAATAAATCATTTTGATTCATTCAAGTTCAAAGTTGAAACTACGTATTTCTGTCTAATAAAAGAGTAGCTCACCACCACCAAACTACCACAACCGGGCAAGCGAGAAAAAAAAAAATAGAGCAAAAACAAGTTTTCCATAATATGGAAACCGAAGCTTCATGGTAAGTAACTCAACCCACTTTTTTTTATTTCTCTGAATTTTCCACTACAATTTCCAAATTTGACTTGAAATTTCTTTATTCTGAAATCCAAACTGTGGAAATTAATTGGCGATCAAAGCGGCCAAAACAATTTCGAAATGAGCGAGCCGCTGGCAGCATTTATTGCGTCGACGCCATTGTTGGAGGAGGCATGGAGGGTGTGCAGTATAGCGAACACCAGCTTCCCGGGGTCTTACCTGGTCCAACAGATTGGAAGCGTGGCTTATGTCGCTTTTTCCGGAACACAAATGAGTGCTGGATCGGATCAGAACTGCAGAAATCTGGTGGCTTTGGATGCCGAAGACGGTGGCCTCTTTGCTCCGCTTTATCGACATAGCGAAGCGGAGGAGCCCATCAAGGTGCATCATGGCATGTTAAAGCTTTTCTTCTCGATGATTCCGAGTCTTCAAATCCAGGTTAGCTTTCCTTTTCTTTTATTTTTTACCTTTTGCTGCAGTTATTGATTATGAATTTTCGTTTCTGTTTCCTTTGTTTATGCCTGAGGATTTAATTCATCTAATTGTTTCTTTCTTTTATTTAAAATTCCAATTAAAACCAAATCGATTCAAGCGTTGATCTGTAATTATTTATATATGTATACCATAGGCATAAACCCAGACCTCAGTTATCAGAAACTTCACCGTTTTGGATTCATGAAATATATAGAAGAAATCAACAAACAAAACCAAATCGATTTTTCATTAAATTAATATCTAACTAAGCAAAAACCCGGTTGCAACATTGATATGAGATGTGCTTTAGATTTTGGGGATTAATTAGATATTGTTCGGGAATCTGGTCAACAAAATTGTGAGACTCATGGTAATTGAATTAGAGTATATAGGAACAACCAAGCGTATACACTATGAAATTGGGTTGGCTTGTGGTGTTAAAATTACTTAAACCCCAAGCCTTGGTTAGTTAGCTAACCTAGCTGAAATGAAGATAAAATGATGATCCTAAGTTGCCAGGGATCAGTGTTTGGTTCAGATGATAATAGTACAATTCTGGGTAGTGGGAAAAGTAGGTACCATCAAGCACTGAAAGTGGGAAACTTCATAATTGAGCACTGGATAAAACAATCAATGGAGTTGAACAGAACATAGCAGTGGGAAAATAGTTTTTTGCATCTTTGAGGATTGAAGTTAATGGAAGGTTATATAATAATAGTACTATAATGATGGGGAGGACTGAGAAAAGCTTCATTACTTAAATGTAACAATGTCCAAGGCCCAAACTAAGTCAAATAGCATAGTATTTATTTTTATATTAGAACTCTAAATTGTGAATGAGAAAGAGATATTTATATCAATTTCCAAAAGGCAGCTTGGTCACATAACTTGTTGTTTCCTCTTCTCCCTCACCAGCCTATTTATTTATTTGATGCAATTAAAAATATAAGAGAAAAACTCTAGTAGAAAAAGTAAATCTTTTCACTATGTGAAACAACAATATAAACAATCAAGTGACGAGACATACATCATCTTTAGGCCCCTCAATACTTTGGCTTTTATTTTCTTTCCCCGATTAACGCGTCAATAACGGGATTCTCCTTTAAATCTCAATAGTTTTTTGGGTAAATTACATTTTTAGCACACAAACTATCATTTTTATCTGTTTTAGTACATAAACTTTTAATTTTTTAAAATCATACCTAAAGTTTAGTGTTTACTTCATTTTAGTACTTTCGTTCAAAATTTAACGTTAAATTTTGAAAAAAAATTAAAAGTTTAGGTACTAAAACGAAACTGATAGTTTAGGTACTGAATGCGTTATGTTTTTAATGGTAGGTGCTAAAATGAAATGAAAACTATGTATTATGTATTATTTTGAAAAAATTGAAAGTTTATGTATTAAAACAGACTAAAATTGATAATTTAAGTACTAAATATTTAATTTACCTTTTTTTGGTACTTAAAGATCGACTACTTAAGTCTAGATTCATACAACGTCGTGGAATAAGTCATCAGTATAATCCACAGAGTCGGTGGTCCCGAGTGATGTCGGTAATTTCTTAGGAACATAACAGATGCCATTCCCGATGATGTCGGGGGTTCATTCGATTTGTTTCGTTTTGGGGGTTTTGTCAAGGAAGGTTGGGTAATTGGGGTCAGCTCTACCTAACCTGCTTTCTGTCAAAGAAATACGTTCTTGAAAAAGAGGGGAGAAGAAAAAAATGAAGAAATTATAAAGTCGTACAAAACAAGGATGGGTTTGATGAAAACTGTCTATATTTGTGGATGGTAATGGAAAGTGTTAGATTTGAGGGACTGATAAAGAAGGAAGAAGTGAGGCATTTTTCTCAAAACTCCCTTAATTAAATTTCTTAAATTCTCAAAGCCCCTACAGTTCGTAAAATCCATAATCTCTAAATTCCCAAGTTTCCAAATCCTTTGTATATCATTCGCTTGTCACCTCTAAGTCAACCCCCACCTCCGTCATGGGACCCCACTAAATGAATTGAACTGATGCACCGCACCAATTGAACCTCTGACTGAGGGGGTTTAGATATGATTCGAGGATTTGGGGCTTTCTGAGAAATTATGAATTTAATCCTTTTAGAAAACAATGATTTTAAGAAATTTATGTTAAGAAAGAATGGGTAATTAAATTTCATTGCACATGTCAAATAATCATTAGGTGACTGATTTTCTTAAAGGATGTTGGTGGTTTGATTTTAAGAGTTAATGAGATAAAAACGTTAGTCACTTGTTTTGACAAAAAGAAAATTTAAGTATCTAAATGAAAAAAAATGTAATTAAAATATTTGTTTTTCAGTTAAGCCTTAAATTTACAACTAAAAGGTAAAATGATGGTTTGATATTCAAACATATATTATAAACAAAAAGTTTGATTCGACTCACAAATTACTTGACTCGTTCAATAATTTGAATTGTTTGAACTCGATTGGACAATAATCGAACCAAATTCAAGCTTGTGGATACCAGTGTCTCGTATATACTGTAGTTGGCCATCTCTGGGACATAACCTCATACATAAGAATTACCTTTTCAAATCTTTGAATATGCTTTCATACCACTTATCAATATTTGGTTCCCATCAAGTCTAATCCTGTCACCTGTCTTTGTTCTTTTATGAAGTTCAAAATTATTTCTTTACTTAAAACATTGTAAATTTGTTCTTTTATGAAGTTCAAAATTATTTCTTTACTTAAAACATTGTAAATTTAGTCCTCTACGTTGTTTTATTTAGAATTTTCATCCACGATGTTATATTTAACTGTTACAAAATGCCAGCATGGCATTTTCTAGTAGCTATTTGTTTATTATTGAAAGATGTCCCAGTTAAGAGAATTAATTAATTAGATATGGTGTTGCAGATAGCAGCGTTAATGGGGAAAGTGAAGTCAATTGTGATAACAGGCCACTGCATAGGAGGAACAACTGCCTCTCTTTCGGCTCTATGGCTCCTCTGTCATCTGCTCTCCATGTCCATATCTCCTCCGATGTCGGTCCTATGCATCACATTCGGCTCTCCACTGCTAGGAAACGAAGCGTTTCATCGATCGATTCTCCGCCAACGATGGGGCGGAAACTTTTGCCATGTTGTTTCCAAGCATGATCTCATGCCAAGACTGCTTTTTGCAGAGATTGTAAACCACATTCCTCGTATACAATCCCTGCTGCAGTTCTGGCACTGCTGCATGGCTTCTCCACACCTTTTTGTTGAGGGCCTTTCTTCTCAGCTATCCAGTGATGTAAAGGATACACTTTTTCGCTGTGTTTCAAAGGACTTGGAATTGATAGCACAAGCTGAAGACCCATCGGAGAGCTTGTTTTGGCCGTTCGGGAGCTACATTTTCTGCTGCCAAGAGGGCTCCATTTGTGTAGAGAATGTTGCATCGGTTATTAAGATGATGTATTTGATGCTGGCGACTGGCTCACCTAGCCATAGCGTCGAGGATCATCTCAGGTATGGAGATTACGTCGCTAAAGTTTCTAAACAGCTTTTAAAGGCTAGAAACTTCAATGAAGAAGGGATGATACCTGATTCTAGCTATGAAGCCGGAATAGTTTTGGCCTTGCAGTCCTCGGACCTAACTGCCAAGGAACCAGTTGCAGTAAAGGCCAAGGAATGCCTACAAATGGCTCATCACAGTGATAAGCCAAACCTGACTGCTGCCTATCTAGCGGTAAAATTGTCAAAGATAGTACCATTTCGAGCTGAAATCGAGTGGTACAAAGCCTGTTGTGACGAGGCTGATGATCAAATGGGCTATTATGATTCCTTCAAGCTTAGGGGGGCCTCAAGAAGAGAGGCTAGAGTCAACATGAACCGCCATAGGCTTGCTCAGTTTTGGGATAGCGTAATCCACATGCTGGATAACAACAAACTCCCTCATGATTTCGATAGGAGGGCAAAGTGGGTATACGCTTCTCAATCCTACAAGCTTCTTGTTGAACCATTGGACATCGCGGATTATTACCGAAACGGTAAGCACATCGAACAAGGGCACTACATCGAGCATGGACGACAAAGGAGGTATGAGATTTTCGACAAGTGGTGGAGAGAGAGAAGCGATATAGAGGAAGAAAACAAGAGGAGCAAATTAGCGAGCTTGACACAAGATTCATGCTTTTGGGCTAAGGTCGAAAAAGCCAGGGAGTGGCTAGACAATGTGAGAAGTGAGAGGGATGTAATGAAGCGGCACCAGTTGTGGCAGAAGATGGACATGTTTGAAGCGTATGCAAGGAATTTGATAGAGAATAAGGAGGTGTCGAAGGATGTATTGGCGAAAAATTCGAGCTTTAGTCGATGGATGGAAGAATGGAAAGAAATGAAATCACAGGGGCTGCAAATCCCTCAACTGTTCCCAGATTTTGTGGATGGGGAGGTAGTTCCTTAGGTCTACTTTCTTATTTTCTTAGAACAAGAAGGATTAATTTGTAAAATATATGCATGTAGAATGTGTTTGATGTTGTAGCTTTGGTTCTGGTTCATGATTTTAGTTGCGTGAACCTGCAAGAAATGATTTCAGTATAATTCAATCTGAGATGTTGAATTATCAATTCAAACCCAACATTATTTCAAACCAAAAGAGCTCTTAAGGAGCCCCTGAAATGTTTGAGCCTGCCATTAATCTGGACACCCGCCTTGTATACTCCGATGAAATAATTAAATTATTTATTTACCACAAAATTCATTTGGAGAAGAAATTAATTATATATCGTAATTGAATTATTTATCTTTCATAAAATTTATTTGGAGAAAGAATAATTTGCTCTTGTTTTAATATATTCACTTATAAAAACAAGAATTGTGTTGCATATTAATTCCAAATAAATTCAATACTTAAACAATTGTTTTTGTCTATTTGTAGTAGTCTTAGATCATAAGTAATATAAATATTAATAGAGTGGTTGAGAGACTGAACAAATAATTGAGAGATGTGGAAAAGTGATTAAGAGATTTGGATGTATATAATCGTTTTATCTTTTTGTTATACCTATATCACACACTAAAACATCTGGGGTTTTTTTTCATCACTATGAACATGTTTACGATCTGAAAGCATTACATTAACATTGAAGGACGAAATCTATTTTTATAATAATTAGGACAAAAAGAAAGTAATTCTACCACGATACTGTAATTTTATTTTGTTTAATAATCATATTTGTTTTGCAACAATAATAATTTTGTCAAACACAGACCATAATTAATATGCCACAATTATTCCTAGGTTTAATTTGTTAACTACATTCATGCACGTAGAATGAGTACTTTAGCGGCGTTTTTAAACAATTGCCGTAATAGGGTTCACCTATAGTGGCGTTTTTTAATAAACGCCGCAAAAAATTATAACTTTAGCGGCGTTTTGGTAACAAACGCCGTAAATGAATCGTACTTTAGTGACGTTTTTACAAAAAAACGCCGCAATAAAATTATATATAGTGGCGTTTTTCAATAAACGCCACAAACGTTTTTAACATTAGTGACGTTTTTAATTAAAAACACCGCAATTAGTTACACATCAGTGGCGTTTAAACGCCGCAAAGTCAATTTTAAATCTCCTCTAGCCCTAGCCATTTTTCATCTTTTTTTTTGTCAACTTTCCGCCGTTTACAACTTACCCACAAAACTACAACAGGCATCTCCTTCACTGTGCCCAGCCTTCTTCGCCTCCAACGTCATCGCTTCCAACACAATTCCTGGTGTGTTCTTCTCCCTTCACATTTGGCATCTCCCTCTGGTAATATCCTATATTATCTTTCTAAGTTTCCCATTCTTTCTCTCTCTTTCTCTTGGCTTTGGAGCACCACTAATTTCAAGCTCAGCCCTTGTTCTTGGACTCTACACAGTGCATATGGGTAAGCTTCATTCTCCGTTAATTCTTCGTTCTATTGTTAATGGTGGAAGGAATCAAGATATGGGTAAGCTTTATTTAAAAATTTGCCCTAAATTTGGAATAGTACTTAGAACTGACAGTTTGCCTATTCTTTGTTTGGGCTTTAAATTACCTACTTTGAATGAAGTGAGCAAAGATATTGGAAACCCTGCATGGAAACGACTGATCCTGCATGTAGTTGTGGCATCTTTAACCTCCTCCTTATATGCTTACCATCTTGGGTATGTTCCTTCTATGTTTATTTTTTGGTTATTTGTGGAAATTCTTGTGATAATGCATTTTTTATATTTCTTGTGTTCCTAGTGCAGAGTAGTAAATGAAACGCTTGAAAGTATTTATAATGACCTTCATTTTAATGGGAATACCATGGCTGAAGGTACTGTTGCAATGAATTTAGATATCAGTGTTCCTGTCTTATTTGAGAAACTGCTCTGATAATATGTTGTCTTTTGTTGAAATCAAGGTCTGGTTGTTTGTCTTTTGTTGAGATCAAGGTCTGGTTGTTAGCATATGTTTAGGTGGTGCCTTTGCTGGATCAACGTTCAGTGGTTTCATTGCGGATAGGATTGGGTTTCGCAGGGCATTCCAGCTATGTGCATTACCTATGATAATTGGCTCTTGAATGAGGTAACTACAATGTATTTGATATACCTTAATTTCTGGCATGTCTGTTTTGAATTTATCTCCATTATGCTTAAAGGCTTTCAAATGATAATGCCTTTCAAGGTTAGGTTTTTCAGATCCTTCTTATTAGATTATCACAAGGAAAAATTTCAGTTTAATTGATAAATTTACCTTGTTAATTTCCATCACCTGTTTTTCGAGTTCTTGAGCCATTTTTTGGGAGGTAATGAGTCCCAGCTAGCTTTACTTCTCATAATCCAATTAACTTAGATAATTCCCAGAATGTTCTTGCAGTGCAACAACAAAAGACATTTGGGGAATGCTTCTAGGGAGGTTATTAGTTGGAGCTGGAATGGGTCTTGGCCCTCCTCTTGCATCTCTTTGTGTGACAGAGGTATCTAAAAGATGGTTAATAAACTAATTTTCTGTTATGTCACAAGCTCTTCTTCTCTTCTTTCCTCTTTTTCTAAAATTGCAATCGGATCCATGCACAGGTTTCTCCAGCTTATGTAAGAGGCACATACGGAAGCTTCCTTCAGATTGCAACAGCCCTTGGATTGATGGGTGTTCTATTGATTGGATCCCCTTCTAAGGAAACTGAGGGTTGGTAAGAAATGCTTTGAGTTAGTAGTAGCTTTGAAAATTATAATCATATAAAGGTTATTTTTATCTTTTGTTTATGGTTGTTTGGAGTAATTTTTTACAACCACACTGCCAACCGACACCACAAGATGATTAGCTTAGTGTCACATTGTCTTTTTCAAAAAGAGTTCATATTTTAGCAACTTTGGTTGTTCTTTGTTGAATCAGATTGATGACATATTTCTTTACTTGATGTGAACAGGTGGCAAATATATTTCTGGGTATATGCTGTTCCTCCTGCTTTACTTGCCCTTTCTATTGAGTTTTCTCCAGGGAGTCCCCATTGGCTTTTCAAGGTCATTTTCTCTCCTTTCATATTCAGTAATGAATAACTTTACATTTCCTCGTTACTTCTTCAACATCAGTCTAGTGTCATCTTGTCCTAATAAAAATTTAAATCCATGTAAAGAGATGCAAATGTTATTAAAGTTGTGAAAAAGAAAAAGAAACTGCAAATTATATTCACATTTTGTATTGTTATATTCTTTGAAACTGTCATTTTAATAAAAAAAAATGATTTACTCTGTCATTTTAATTTTAGGCATTGGACATAGTCTATATTATCTAGTTCACCTTTATCTTTCCAACTTTCTTAAGCATTCTAGATCTCACTTAATTGATTTGTTATTACATATGATTATAGATTGAGTATTTGGCCCAACAACTACTACACGCCATGTTTATGATGTTGGTGCTCAGCATATTGTCAGTGGTTCCATGGAAGGCATCAATGGTATGTTGTGAAGACCTATTCTTAGATAAAATTGGCACTTACATCATTCGATAAAATGCAGTAAACTTGTTTACTTGTTGAAGTTTTTACATTTCTTGACAATGAAAAAGGAATTCATTACTTTTTAATTGTCAATGGCAAAAAGAAAGTTAAGAAACTAGTTGATAAGGATTGAGATTATTGTTAAGGATACTTTGAGATTAAAGAGTTCGGCTATTTTCATCCAACATGGGCTGATGGATTTATGAATGTGTGAATGTATTTATCCATGAGACGTTGAATCGGACAAGGTTGTTACTGAACATCATAATCACTTTGTAGGAAGGCCATTTTAATCTAGGAAAACTCAACTTAGATTTCTGGAACGATTTGTTACTGAGGTATCCTATGCTTCCTTGGTAACTATTGTTTCAAGCAAGAAGCTACCTTGCCTTCTCTGAATAGTACTCGGTTTTGCATCATAAATTGTGGGTTGATATCGAAAGTTACGACATTTAATTTGTATTTTCTCAAAACTTGTTCTTTTACCTTACAATGTTAAATTTTGTTCACATGCACCATATTTGCTTATGGCGTGACAAGCAGTGGGAAGACTCATACGAAGGAGCAATGAAGACTAAATTCTAGTGAATAATATTTTTTTAATTGAAAGTGAAAGTACCTAGACTAATTCTAGAGAACAATGTCAAACTACATTACATTTAATTTTAATGTTTATAAATTTTAATTTATTTTGTTGTTTAAATTTATGGTTGATGTTAATTAGATAAAGTTACATGATATTAAATTTAGGTGATGTAGATAAGAAATGAATATGCAAAATATAAATTAATCTTAGAACAAGAACGTTAATTAGCGGCGTTTGTTCCAAAAACGCCGCTATAGATCCTACCTTTTGCGACATTTTCTCCAAAAACACTGCTATAGATCTAACCTTTTGCGGCGTTTTCTCCAAAAACGCCGCTATAGATCTCGACCTATTGCGACATTTGTTCCAAAAACGCCGCTATAGATCCAACCTTTTGCTACGTTTGTACCAAAAACGCCGCTATAGATCCAACCTTTTACGACGTTTGTTCCAAAAACGCCGCTATAGATCTCAACCTATTGCGGTGTTTGTGAAAAAAACACCGCCATAGATCTGACCTTTTGCGGCATTTTCTCCAAAAACGCCGCTATAGATCTCGACCTATTGCAGCATTTTTTTTCACAAACGCCGCTAACTTTAGCGGCGCTGATATGACTGGCACTTCTTACGATGTTTTTTCTATATCTGTGAGTGCTTTTAGTGGCGCTTATAAAAGCAGCTATAGGACCAAAAAACACCGTTAAAGAACAATTTTTTTTCTGTAGTGAATTCTTTGGTGTGTTAAAGTTTCATGATTTTGGTTCCATGAACGTACAAGAATTTCATTCATGATAATATGGTGGATCAAAACATGACAATATACGAGGGAAAAAAATATTTGGATCTATTTATTGATCATCTCACATGTACTACAACATTCTTGATATATAAGCAACACGATCCTTTGTCCCTCAAATTGATGTGCATAAATAATTAAAAAAATGTTTTTTTGTATATATATTTAAAGATTGTGAAGATAAAGTTTAGCTACTTTACCTTCCCTAATTAGTTTATCGCAGAGCAGGGATACTGAGAGAGCCAGTGTTGAGTACTCTTGGGAAAATCTTTAGTATGGAAAGGTTTAAAAGAGGTAAACATGAGACATTACAAAATGCAAAGATCAAAAGCATGTTGGATATATGAACTGCAAAACTACACCGTTAGCATTGACTGGAAGTATAAACAGTAATTAAAAGGAACAAATTCGTAAACCGTGTCGTGGTAAAAACCACTGCCTTAGAAACGAATTCGCCCCGATGTGTGTAATCGCTGCAGTAGGCGGGCCGTCCCCCGAGGTTAACACGGTCGCTCCGAATTCCGTACACCCGAAACCGGAGTGGACTGCTGGTGGTATTGCTCTTCTGATTGGAAAACACTAAGAGAGAACTCACAGAGAGAATTGTAGAAAACACTTTTGTAAGTGAATTGTGAATGTTTGAGAGTGAGTTGAGAAGCTGAATATAGCCCTCTATTTATAGGCTAGAAATAGGGTTAAAATCGTCCATAAAATTTCAGGATTAAATCTCTTCTTTTGTAACAGCTGAAACGTCTAGATGAACCTGACTCAAAAATAGTCCAGGTTCATTGCATCATTGTTAAGCTATTATAACTCCCGAAATTATATCATGTAACCCATGGAATTAAATCAAATAACTCCTGATATTAACAGCTTGTCTCCTCTGTACAAAGCTGGAAATCAGTCCAGATATATCTTAACATTTTTGATTTAATTTAGGAAAAGTTGTTTAATTTCTGATAACTCTCATAAACCAGCTGTTATCATTTGAAATTAAATAGTCCTCAACAGCCTATAAATATCAGTTGAAATCTTTCACATTTTTCCATTTGTTTCTTTCAAAGAGAAATTCCTCAAGAATTTTCTCTAAAAAGATAGTATCCGCGCGGACGTGTCGAAGACACGTATGACCAAGACCACGACCACGAGCCGAGCCGTGCCGTGCCATATCGAGACGAGACGGACGGCGGCGGCAGCGGTGCGCGAGAGTCCCTCTTGTTCTCTATCACTCAACAAGGAAGTGGGAAAGCCAAGCCTTAAATACTATTCCCAATAGTGTTTCCAATACTATGTGGGATTGAGCATTACCAACATTCCCCCACTATGCGAAAGAAATCTTCTGAAACTCGAAAACAACTTTCCAGAAGAGCAATAGCGAGATTGTTGCTTAAGCACTAGGAACGTATCTGGAACTAGTACATAGTGATGATGAGAAATCCTTCTCTTAGATAAGTGAAACTAGTCTGAATTTCTAAGATCAAGGTAAACTCATAACACACAACTAACCCCTTCATCCACCTGAGTCCTCGATGTGTAAGATATATATATATACAAAGTATATATTTAGCCATCTTACCTCATGATTCTAGTAAGTGTGCTAGAAAAATGGCCCAACATTTTTCATAGAAGGCGGCTAACCCTTCTCACTTACATAGGTTATTGCATCAAATTTATCTCAACATAAACCACCCTTTAAAAAGGGATATGAAATAATTAAGAGCTTTAATAATAGCTCAACCTCACAAAGGGTATGGTGACTTTTTTGAAGTTCATTATTAATGAACCACCCAAACTCTGGGCTAAGAAGTCATTAAGAATAAATATTCAACCTCATTTATCGGTAAATTCAGTAAGTCCTTCTCACTAGAACCATCCAAATACTTGGATTTGAATTTATTAAGAGTTTAACAAACTCAACCTTTCTATAGGTAAGTTCATCATTTCCTACCCACTCACTCTGGGTTATGAACTTATTAAGAATAGATATTCAGCCAAAATCGGTAAATTCATCAAGTCTTTCTCACTAAGACCACCCAAAGCCTGGGATATGAATTTATTAAGAGCACTTAAGTTCATCCTGGGCATGCACATTATTCGTCATAGAGATAGGCAGTAGGAATGTGCACTATGAGTCTTTCCATGGTTTCGTTTGACCACATGGAACTTAGATAACTAAGTTGGGTATCCACCATGAATTCCTCAAACCAATGGGCTTTAGACCCATCCCCCTCGACGAATCTAGGACCAGCTTCCGACTTAACCCTTTGGTAAGTGGATCTGCTAGGTTCCTTTCTGACTTCACATACTCTAAAGAGAGCACTCCATTCTTTATTAAGTGTCTCACTGAATCATGTCTTATACGAATGTGTATTTTCTTACCATTGTAAGCTTGGTTCTTAGCCACACATATCGCAGCTTGTGAATCACACAATAATGAAACTGGAGGAGTCAGTCTTCCCCACAACGGAATATCTGCTAACAAACTTCTGAGCCACTCGACTTCTTGCCCAGCTAGGTTAAGAGCTATAAACTCTGACTTCATAGTAGAACGAGCAATACAAGTCTGCTTTGATGATTTCCACGAGATTGCTGCTCCACCCAAAGTAAAAACATACCCGCTCGTAGAGCTTACCTCATCATTATCAGAAACCCAGTTGGCATCACAAATATCCTTCCAGTACCGCAGGAAAGCCAACAAACTCAAGTTTCCAATCCAAAGTACCCTTAATATACTTCAGTAAGCGTTTAAGAGAAATCCAGTGCTCACCACTCGGATATGAGTATATCTACTCAGTCTACTCACAGCATAAGCAATATCAGGCCGAGTATAGTTCATTAAGAACATTAAGCTTCCGATTAACTTAGCATATTCAGTTTGGGAAATGCTACTTCCTTTATTCTTAACTAGATGTATGCTAGGGTCATAAGGAGTTCGAATAGGGACGACATCAAAACTGTCAAATTTCTTTAGCACTTTCTCTATATAATATGCTTGACATAAAGAAAATCCCTTCTCAGTTTTGGTAACTTTGACTCCTAAGATTACATCTACTTCTCCCAAATCTGTCATCTCAAACTTAGTGGACAAGAAATTTTTAACTTTGTTAATGGACTCAATGTTAGAACTGAAAATCAACATGTCATCAACATAAAGACTTATGATAACACATTCAGTGTCAAACATATTCGAATACACACAAGCATCCAAACCATTCACAACAAAACCAAAACTAAGAATAGTTTTATGAAATTTCTCATACCACTGTTTAGGTGCCTGCTTAAGTCCATAGAGTGACTTTTTGAGTCTACAGATTTTGCCTTCCATACCAGGATCTTTAAAACCTAGTGGTTGTTCCATGTAAATCTCCTCATCTAGATCTCCATTCATGAAAGAAGTCTTAACATCCATTTGATGTACCTGCAACTTATGAATAGAGGCTAGTGCAAATAATGCACGAATCGTTGAGATTTTTGTAACGACAGAATATGTATCAAAGTAGTCTAAACCAAACCTTTGAGTGAACCCTTTGACGAATAACCTTGCCTTGTACCGCTGAATCGAACCATCTAGCCTTAGTTTCTTCTGGAAGACCCATTTGCTGGAGATTGGTTTGAATCCATTAGGCAAGTCAACTAATTCTCAAGTATGATTAGACATTATCGATTCTAGTTCATCATTAACAGCGCTTTTCCAAAAACTAGCATCGATAGATCTTATAGCTTCTTCAACAGTTTTAGGATCCTCATCTAACAGAAAAATTTGAGCTATAGGATCTGAAATGGAGTCTAAATCATTTATCTCAGAAATAAAGGAAGTAATAAAGTCTGGTCCAAAAGAGGTTTCAACTCTTTGCCTTTTACTTCTTCTAAGCTCGAAATCAATTTGTTCAGAAGACCTAGCAGGATTAATAGAAGAAGTGGATGGAATATATTCTATTTGTGTTTCCTATAAACACCGCATCAACTGTTTTAGGTCCGATGGTGGACTTCTTAAATTCTGGCAAACCCACTTTGGCCAGACACCCCCACACTTTCAGGTATTGTAAATTAGGAGCGTATCCTTTCCACAATTCATATGGGGTAGAATCTAATTTCTTATGAGGAACTCGGTTCAAGATATGAGTTGCCGATAGAATGGCTTCCCCCCACATGTTATCAAATAACCCTAAACTTATTAGTAAAGAGTTCATCATCTCTTTTAAAGTTCTATTTTTCCTTTCAGCTATACCATTCTGTTGAGGAAAATAGGGGGCTGAAGTTTCATGAATTATGCCATTTTTTTCACAAATATCTTTTAAGAAATTAGATCCATATTCACCACCTCTATCAGATCTAACCCGTTTGATTCTCCTATCTAACTGATTTTGTACTTATGCCTTATAAATAAGAAAGAAGTTTTCATCTTCATCTTTAGTTCTTAGGAGATAAACTTTTGTATATCTTGAATAATCATCTACAAAAGTTATGTAGTAGTGTTTTCCTCATTTACTTTCATTGTTTCTAAAATCTGCTAGATCAGTATGAATGAGTTCTAACAGTTCAGTCTTTCTATTAGAAACAGTCTTAAAGTGAGGTCTAGTATGCTTAGCTTCTACACAAATCTCACATTTGTTAAAGCTAGTTGTGTCTAGTTTAGGCAGAACATTCATATTCATTAATTTCTTTAAAGCATGAATATTCACATGTCCTAATCTAGCATGCCACATATCAATGGATTCAACAATATAAACAGAAGTGGTAGCTTTATTTTCATTAAATTGAGTTTCTATGACAAATAAATCATTGCTTAGAAACCCTTTCCCCACATAATCACCATTTCGGGAAAGTACAAGTTTATCTACCTCAAAAACTAACTTAATGTCTACCTTATTCAGAAGCCCACCACTTATCAAATTTCTACGCAAGGCAGGTACATACAGAACATTATTTAAAGCCAGAGTTTTACCAGAAGTCAGCTTGAGTAAAACCTTGCCTTTGCCTAGCACTTCAGAACTGCTAGAGTTCCCCATGTACACACGTTCACCAGTGTTCACATCCTCGAACTCGGTGAAAAACTCCTTCCTTGCACAGAAATGCTTCGAAGCGCCAGTGTCAACTACCCATTCTGAACTGTTCTCCACCAGATTAACTTATGAGACCACCGCAGCAATGATCTCATCATCTTCTTCTACAACGTGCATCTGTGGCTTGTTGTCATTCTGGTCGTCTGATTGGTGTTGGCATTGGTAAGCTTTGTGGTCGGGTAAACCACATACATAACACTTGAACATCTTTCCTTCCAGTTTGGCCTTTCCTGACTTCTTGAAGTTGGTAGCCTTCTATGGTTTCGTCTTCTTGTCTTGATTCCCACGTTTCATGATCTTCTTAAATTTAGACTCAACCAAGTTAGCTTTAAAAGATAAATTACTCATAGAATTAGTAAGCTTATCTTTTAAAGGGTTGGCTTCTTCAATCTTCATATGGCCCACAAGTTCTTCAAGCGAAATGTCTCTCTTCTTATGCTTAAGAGAGTTGCGGTAGTCGGACCATGACTTGGGCAGCTTCTCAATGAGTACATTGGCTTGCAGCACCTCACACATTTGCATCCCTTCAGCGATGATGTCAGCGACTAAGTTCTCATAGTCATGGACTTGATCCATTATTGGCTTGTCGTCTGTCATCTGGAATTTGACCCATTCGCCAACAACGTACTTCTTGATGCCCGCATCGTCCACACCATACTTTTTGTCGAGAGTGTCCCATATTGCCTTGGCACTCCTTTTTCTAAGGAACATATCAAATAGTTTATTTGACATGTGGCTAAGTAGATGTCCTCGCACCGTCTTGTTGTCTTTCTCGTATTTCTCATAGGTAGCGAGTGCGGCGGCGGCGATTGCTAAGGCATCATCATTGAGGACCACATCTGGATCATTACCGGCAGCTGGGTTGGTGACATGGTAGGTGGTGGCTTGAGCAGCACGTAGTCAAGATCAAGCTGCTCGAAGAATATCAGGATTCTTTGGGACCACCTTCTATAATTCTTTCCATCAAGTGCATCGAGCTTGGAAAGATCGGGGATTAGTTTGCTCAAAAGTGTTGTCATGATTGTAGTATATGGAATTCGTTTCTAAATTGTTGGATATATGAACTGCAAAACTACACCATTAGCATTGACTGGAAATATAAACAGTAATTAAAAGGAACAAATTCGTAAACCGTGTCATGGTAAACACCACTGCCTTAGAAACGAATTCGCCCCGATATGTGTAATCGCTGCAGTAGGTGGACCGTCCCCCGAGGTTAACACGGTCGCTCTGAATTTCGTACACCCGAAACCGGAGTGGACTGCTGGTGGTATTGCTCTTCTGATTGGAAAGCACTCAGAGAGAACTCATAGAGAGAATTGTAGAAAACACTTTTGTAAGTGAATTGTGAATGTTTGAGAGTGAGTTGAGAAGCTGAATATAGCCCTTTATTTATATGCTAGAAATAGGGTTAAAATCGTCCATAAAATTTCAGGATTAAATCTCTTTTTTTGTATCAACTGAAACGTCTAGATGAACCTGACTCAAAAATAGTTCAGGTTCATTGAATCATTGTTCAGCTATTATAACTCCCGAAATTATATCATGTAACCCATGGAATTAAATCAAATAACTCTTGATATTAACAGCTTGTCTCCTCTGTACAAAGATGGAAATCATTACAGATACATCTTAACGTTTTTGATTTAATTTAGGAAAAGCTGTTTAATTTCTGATAACTCTCATAAACCAGCTGTTATCATTTGAAATTAACAGTCCTCAGCAGCCTATAAATATCAGTTGAAATCTTTCACATTTTTCCATTTGTTTCTTTCAAAGAGAAATTCCTCAAGAATTTTCTCTAAAAAGATAGTATCCGCGCAGACGTGTCGAAGACACGTATGACCACGACCACGACCACGACCACGACCTCAACCACGACCACGACCATGACCATGACCATGAGCCAAGAAGACCACGGTCCAGGACCACGAGGCGAGACGAGACGGACGGACGGCGGCGGCTGTGCGCGAGAGTCCCCCTTGTTCTCTATCACTCAACAATGAAGTGGGAAAGCCAAGCCTTAAATACTATTCCTAATAGTGTTTCCAATACTATGTGGGATTGAGCATTACCAACAAAGCACAAAACCAAGAAAGAGTTCAAACTTGAAAAACATTACCTCCCCCATTCGAGCATTTATTTTCATTGATACAAAATAATCGGCACGGGTCTTACCGACGTTTACAATTGCGGTGGAGGCACCTGCCTCATGAGCAGCCCTGTCAAAATCAAATACCATTAGCTGCAGATCAAATCCCTTTCAAAAACGAGGAAACAAATAAATCCATGTAATGTCCTTGGAAACTCGAAATACTCGAAACAAGGGAAAGTTGCTACATCAGGATCATGAAACTAAAATAACAAACTTGAGACTGGTTGTTGAAAGAAAACTTTTAAGTAACTATAACTGAACCAAATATTTCAGAAGAAACACCGGTGATCGATACCTTCAGATGCAAATTTTGAAGTAAATTTTATTGACCAAAATATATACCTGACGAGTCGGAAAGCATACATGGTCATCAAGGATGATCCTAACGCAAGGAAGGCATCACATTCTCTTGCAACCTCCATGGCCTTATCGGCTCTTTCCTTGGGCATATTATCACCGAAGAAGACAACCTTCATTTTTAAATACACAACAAAAACATTAAAAAGGTGTTTGTATTTCTTTTAGAAACTACTAAACCCAAATTAGTCTCAAACTAAATGGGCCAAATGCATAAATAATTCATTGTCATTTTCTTTTAAATGTGCATCTGCAAAATGCCAAAAAAACTAACAGCAATACGGCTGAAGCAAAATATCAATATGATGGAAAATTGGGAAATTAAAAAGAATAGCTTCCTCCAACAATTAGAACACATCAAAAAGAGTAAATTAAATAGCCTGTGGGTAAATCCAAAAGATGCACAAATTAATATTTCTATACCAACATGATAGAACAAGGATCCTAAAAGTGTGTGTATATATATCTATGTGTCGAAATGATTTTTCTCTTAAAAACATAAATTTAATTTTTTAAATGGTGATTTTTAAAATATCTCGTCTCGAATAATTTGGAGATCTTTTAATAATAAAACATGGTTTGAGGAGTCGCCATCAATATTTGATTAGGGTGTGATTGTGCACCCAAAAACATATTTGTCATTTTAATAAAAATATTAATTTTAATTAAAACAACAAATTTATGATCTGCGTTACCAAAAATTTGAGTTCGGGAATCGGTTACGCGTGGGGAAGGATTAGTACCCCCACAGTGCCCTAAATCGAATACCTAGTCGATTAATTAGTTCTCTTTGCAATGAAATTTAAGAATTCGATTTTAATTTAGTTTAAGATTGTCACAATCCGAGTTAGGGGCTAAATTTTATTGATTTAAGTAAATTTAAGAGACTAAATTGCAAGTTTTAGAAACTTGCAACTTAGGTTGAAACTCTGGGAAGTTTAGGGACTTAACCTCGAAATTTCCCATTTTGTGTTAAGTGAGAAAAATAAATCTTTCTTTCCCCCGATCACCTGGAAAATTTCCTAAAACTGCTAACCTTCTCCGTCACGCATTGCTGTCCATCTCCAATCACTCTTCTTCGGCCAGCGCTGGCATGCACCGCCACCACCACCACCATCGATTCCGGCATCACCTCGCGAGCATACCCCTGCTAATTGATCATTGAAAAATATCGCCGATCGTCGTGAATAGCATTTGAAATTCGTCAGAAAAAACCAAGTCAGTTGTTGTGTATTTCTTCATTTTTCGGCTGATCTCGACGATGGTTCATCTCACCGCCTCCCTCATTGAATTCCCGATGTTCTTCCGACCAAAACCTGGTCAGGTCGTCGCTCACCGCCGTTGCAATCACTGTTCACCATTGAAGGTAATCAGTTTATTTTTTATTCAATTGTTTTACACTATTATGGCTGATGATTAAGGTTGTTTTGGATTGATTATGGTGATTATCGAACCAGGGAGTAATCAACCGATCGAAACAGCCCTTGTCATCACCGCAAGCACCAGCAGTGCACGCGAGGATCCTCTGCTAGTCCAGGAAGTTTTTGGAATCGGTCCGAACCGGGTCTAGTTGACTGGATCGAGTCAACTCGGACTGAGTCAACTCGTTTGAGTCAAATCATTTGAGTCATCTCGTTAACTTTGACCGTTGACTTTGACCCAAAAAGTTAACTTTTTCAAAAAGGTCTTATTTTATATTTTTTGACATCCTGAGTCCGAATCTGAAATTTGTTTTGCAAAATTTGCACCAGGTAAGCCTTTTTTCAATGTTTTATCTTCAAATTCAAATTAGTTTCTCAATTAAGTTCAGTTTCTGAAGTAAAATTCGACTGCTTTGTATCCGAAGAATTATTGGACATTGAATTAATGTTCGAGGGCGATTGAATGGAGTTTAAATGGTTGATCGATATGGCATAAAAATCAAGGTAATACTCTGCTACATTTTGTATGCTCTTTGGAACCCATTGATAGAGTACAAGGCTCTTATCCTTGGGGTCATGGGATCGAGTCCCACGGAGGGCATTTCATAATTCGGAGGTTTTCTACGGAAGCTGTTCTCAACCTGGCGTTGGGGGCAACCTACTATCCTACCTCCCCCTTACCCCATTACATATGGGAATAAGGGTTAGCTAATTTTTTTTTAAACCCATTGATAGATGACAATTGCATGAATGGAAATGATTGGTCCATTAGATGTATTTAATTATCATTGGACTCAAACATAAATTGGATTAAGGACATAACACGGTATAAGACTCAGACGGCTCGATAAAGAGAAATTGGAAGATCAATCAGAAATAATTATAAGTTTAGTGATTCAATAATAAATAAATTGGTCTCAAGATCCGTAAATTTTGATAAATTATTTAAAGGTTAAATATCACGATTATTTGGATAAGAAACTACCAAAAATAGTCTTATGGAGTAAATTAAAAAAATGCCCTTGTACTGTAAATGACCAATACTTCCCCCGGATAGTGAAAGATAACCCAGAAAAGACATCATTGACCAATTATCAGAAATAGTGCATATATTTGAATTGAAAAGAATTACCAAAATATCCTCGAGCTATGAAATAACTATAATAACCTTAATTGATCAAAGGAACTAGAATACTTGAAGCCTAATATATCAGAAGTAATGTCACTGGCAGATTGAAATGAAATGACGATGATACACATATAGTGTAAAAAGCACAATGGATGTCTATGATAATGGAGACGACCTGAGAACTCATATCTTGATCCACTTGAACCTTAGAATCATCGATTTAAATTTCAAATCTATATTGGAATTACAGAATTTACCTTGAAGTGTAAAATGATTAAAATGCCCCTAAAGTGTTAAATGACCTAAAGTATCTCCAAGCCCTAGAATGACTAAATACCCTCTAGCTCTGAAATGAATAATTCAACCTCGGTTACCAAAAGACCTAGAATTTCTATTTTCTAAGATAACACCTAGAGACTAAATTATCGAAGGTACTTTACACGTCTGAATTTCATGAAATGACTAAAGTATATGACCAAGTTGAACGGAATGGAAGAACTGTATGTATCCGAATATCGGAAATGATTAAATTACTATGGAAACTCAGAAGAGAGTGGGATTGACTTAACTACTAAATGACCTATGTATCTTCAAAGACCTAATATTAAGTGAATGACGTAGACAATTATGGAAACATTGATGAACTTATATGTAGTACCACCCTCAAGGGTTTTAAACCCCAGATCAAGCACGTCGATAATTATTGACATTGTTGCAGTAAAAAAAAAGAAATAAATACCACTGGAATACCTATTTGTCTCCTAAAAACTGATCAAGGATGATTATGATATTGATCCAATCAACTGGTGCATTCAGTAATAAGAAGTGAATAATAATGAAGTATCACAGTCCCAATGATTGACAAGTATTGCAGTGTTGGGATCGTTGGTGCAATTTGATTCAAAATCCTGATAATTCAATATATAATCCTGAATACCCCCTGATTATTTAACTAATGGAATCACTCTCTATAAATCTAAATCTAGAATTATTCTGATATAAAGGTTCATGACCACCTTTTTAATGCACCTAAATTATAACGGGGTTCTAGAGTATCAACTTTAAATGTCTAATAGATTCGTTAGTAATAAATCCCTTTTAATAGGACCTTGATCCTGGAATCCTATCAAATTACATAAGTTTCATGTTTTTCTGATAACTATTATGTGCCTCTGAAAAATTCTTGGATCCTTTAGTGTGTTCCCCATGTACTACATGATTGTTTTATATATATATATTGAAATGTATTTTACCGAAATTTATTGATTTACTGACTTATGAACCATGACAACATGGTATGTGTTCTCTGATTATAATTTTCACTGAAAAATATGATTTTTCATGATTTATGGAATCATGAAAGTTACTGGTTTATGAACTATGGTTTTTTGTTTTCACTAGTTACTACTTGAACTGTTTTATATGGACTTTATCTGGGTAGGCTGAAGGTTCAGCTCTGATCAAGATGGTAAATCTTTACAGACCTAATGTGACACTTGGGTAGGCTCTGAGGCCCCGAGAAACTTTCTTGGGTAGGCTCTCAGGCTCCAAGGCACTCCCTTAGGTTAATCATGGAATTATATATGGTGTACAGATGGAGGGCAATTATATGGTTTAATTACATTGTCACGTTTATGAGATTTTACTGGATCACGATCCAAATATTATAGTTTACTGTTAAAACTGATTTCTACTGGATTTTAAATGAGTAGAATTATAGAGTCCTTGATCCAGCTGATAAATCCTTGCGGACCTAAGACGACCCTTGGGTAGGCTCTGAGGCCCCGAGATCTTTCTTGGGTAGGCCTTGCAGCCCCGAGTACCTTTCTTGGGTAGGCTCTCGGGCCCCAAGGCATTCCCTTAGATTGGTTCCCTTTGCTGTGTGCTTAGGCTAAGCCTTTATGGAACACACTATTCTGATTTTGGTTGGAATACACTAGACACACTATTCTGATTTCTTGAACCTGGATCTCTGAATAATTCCTCTGAACTGTAATCTTCATGCATGTTACTCGAAGAAATATCAGTGGTACTGCAGATCATTCTGAAAACCTGTATAAGTCTGAGTCAATAAGGAAATTTTATGGCTTTCTATTTATCTACATGTCATGCAATATCAATTGCTAGTATTGTATTACTGAGCTTCCCAAAGCTCACTCTTTGTGTAATACCCCAAAATTTAGATAGTGACCAAAATAAAAATTTTGAAAGTTTGCTAGCCAAAGTATAAACTTTGGAAAAGTTTAGGAACAAAAATAGTAATTTTAAAAAGTTATATTTTGGCCTCGTAAATAAATAGTTTATTTCAAGAATAATATTTTGGTGGGAATCAGAATTTTAATCCGAGATTTGTAATAAAAGTTATAGAGCAAGGAAATTGAGGAAAAAATTTGGTAAATCGGATCGAATATAAAATTCAGGAAAATCTGAAGGATGATACCTTAGACCGAAAATATTATTTTTAAATTTGCAAATGTTGGAAAATAATATAAATATTTTGATTTAAGGGTGTGATTCCATGTTTATTTTGGACAGTTGGATTAAAGTGGCAAGATTGTGATTT